GAGGTGGGGGATGGGCCAGCAAAAATGTATGAAGATTTTCAGAAAGGGGATTATTTGATGCAGCTGCCAGATTTGTCGAGCTCACATAGAAGAGTTTTTAATCTTCCTTTCTGTAATCTCCTGCCACAGTCCCAGGGGTCAGGCCCGTACGCTTGGCCAGCCTGGGTCTGAAGGCTCGTTTTTCCTCTCTCCTCCGTGCGCTCGGCACGTGATGAGTTCTCTCGGGATGGAGGAGGTGTGGGAAAACGCTGTGCTTCGGAAGACAGGTCTGGTCTCGTCCCGGAGGGGCTCGGTCTGTTGAGAGAAGCCACCTTGCTCTTGGTTTCTCTCAGTTCACGCTTTTCGTCCGTTGACAGCAAGACCCAAGGAAAACAAGTGTTAGGACGTGGCGAGGTCTTGGTCTGGCTGTTTCCTGAAAAACCTGAAGGCACTGCGCTGCTGGAAGAGCAGTTCCTTGAACCTCAGCACAACTTTTTCCCTGGACCAGAGGCAGGAGTTTCTAACACCGGCCTGGTGACCACGCCGGACCCCGCGGCTCTCCATTGCCCGGCGCCGGTTCACCACGGGACAGCGTGTTCAGCCGCTTTGATCCATGTGCTGATGCCACCACAGTGCTTCTAACGAACTGTCAGGTCTGCGTTCGTCAGGCTGACGGCGCTGCTAGGAAAGGTCCTTGGACACCTGCTCCGTGTCCTGGGTGATAGCTCGGCTGTTGTTGGCTGCTTCTCGCCCATTACTGTTCGACTGGGGCGTGCTTTCCTGTGTAGTCCCTCCTCACAGAACTTTGCTTCCATTTTAAAGCTCTTGCATGGTCTTCTAATACATTCAGAACCATTTTCAAGTCTTACTGTGGTTTAAAGCTTTAAACTAATTTACTGTAACTTTATCTCTCTCAAACAGTATTTCCATCTAGTCTTTAGGATCTAAATCAACCTCAAGTTGAATTTGTCTTGAATTTAATTATGTGACAGCTGGAGTTGCAGCTTCTTGTAATGATACGAGTGATCTTGTGTGGCAGCCTTTTGATCAGTGTTAGATATTCCAGTGGTAAAGAAGCGAAAGCAATATGCTTCTTAATGCCTTTCTTGTTCTTAACTCTGTAAGCGATTCACAGTTGTGTGGCCACCAGTGACATGGAAAAAAGGTAACGCTTTGAAAGTTGTGGTGCCAAAAGCCTTAGTTCTGGTGCCAGCAGAATCAGATCGGATTAGTTAATGTTGGATTTAGTTTTTGTAAGAGACTCTTCTGTTTGCCTTCCTGTACGCTGGTCAGCCAGTCTCTGACAAGGAGCTCAGGAGAACGCGTGTACCGCGGCAAAACCCTCGGTCCACGGTGCCGGGGCTGTGGGAGAAGCAGCCCCCTCTTCACAGCCAGCAGACGAGCTTCCGCTGATGTGCCTCAGAGAGATCGCTGAACGGCAAGAAATCAGTGGTGTCTGAAAGGTGCTCGAGCTGCTGAGCGCCATATCTTGCCCCTGCCACGGTTGCTGTCCCCACCCTCCCTTCCCCGGTGAAGCCATCAACGGGGCTGACGCGTCGCCTGGGCGTTGGCAGGGTTCGTTACGCCGGGTCCGCAGAGTGCTTGGGACAGCCAGGGCGTGCGCGTCCGCGGGCAGACGTTTGGCCTAATGGATGGTACCGGCAGCGCCCGTCTGGTTAGAGCTTCCTAATGCGATTTCCTGCTGTGAAAAGGAGAAGGAGTCCGGGTCTGACGTGCAGCTCGGGGTATTGAGTGTGACAAAACAGCGAAGGCACTTCGACTCAGCGACGAGCTGTAACTGGTAAAAGCAGTAACGGATCAGTCCTGAGGGCAGAGGCAGAGCTGTTTGCACCGCACGTTGCGCGTTGCGGACGGTACCGAATCGCAGTGACATCAGCGGGAATTCAGCCGTGCTGACGGAGAAGGCAAGGCTTCTCTGTCCTAATTGTCTGATGGCGGCGGTCAGCTCGCAGACAGGCGTATGGCGCGATGTCCTGGGCTGTGGTGTCTGGTCTGGGTACAGCCTGACGTTGTGAAACTCGTGTGTTGGCAGTGTAAACGGAGATGTGCGGTTCTTTGACCCCCGGATGCCCGAGTCCATGAAGGTCCTGCAGATAGTCAAGGGGCTGACGGCCCTGGACATCCACCCACAAGCCAACCTCTTTGCATGGTAAGTTCTAGTTTCACCTCCTGCCTCCCTGGGGAGGATGATTTGTCTCTGCAGACATCATTCGTGGGGTTTTGCTGGTTTTGTTGTTTGTTTTAGCCTCACCACGAGCAGCGCAGCTGCTTGCCCGTATTTGCAGCTTGGGATTTTTATCCCTTGCGTGCATCCAACCTCTGCACTGGAGACTTAAAGCCATGGCGAATGCTACTGTGCCAGATCCCTGTTCAGAGTCAGCCTGGGTGTTTCAGGGCTCTGAGTGGGGACCAGCAACTGCTCCGCCGCCACGGATTGTGGAGGTGGTTGGGGGGTCTGCTCTCAGTGCCTGCGTGGGTCAGCTCTTCGTGCTTTTCTGTCTCAGCCCTGCGGCGTAACAGGTAGCTGTGGTTCCAGCGTTGCTGTGAACTCTCTGCTCTGAGGTTGCTGTGGTTCAGCTACGGTCAGTCTCCCCGCTTAGAAGAACTCGTTGCACGCTGGTCTGATGAACAGCTCCGGTCGACACAGCTGAGAAGAGAGCTGTAGGCAGCGACATTGTTGCCACAGCATTCTCCCTGACCCCATGTTCTCTTGGTTCCTTTCCAGTGGCTCGATGAATCAGTTCACCGCAATCTACAACGGAAATGGGGAGCTGATCAATAATATCAAGTACTACGATGGTTTTATGGGACAGAGAGTTGGAGCCATCAGCTGCCTGGCTTTCCATCCTCACTGGGTCTGTATGCTCTCCTGCTGGGTTCTGGAATTTGCATTTCTTAGTGTCCGTGCTGGAAGAGGGGAAGGCCCGGAGACTCCTCCAGCCCAGAGCGACGCTGCCGCAGCCTGGGCTTCTGACAGGGCGGTGAGGCTGGCC